GGATGATCCTTGTGGGTCCCTTCCAGCTCAGCATATCCTGGGATTCTGTGTGACTTCATGAAGGCCTCCTCTCTCTTGCTCTTCTCCCTTTTCCTACTAATGCAGCAAAGAGGCTCTTGGTGATCCCTGGGGAAGTGAGAGAAGTGAGAGTGTGAGTGTCCAGCAAACACAGCTCTGCCAACACTCACAGCACCTCATCAGAGAGCTCAGTCAGCAATAAGTGTGTGCCCTCATTCAGCAGGGAAATGAAGCTTTTGCCTGTGATAAACAGGGCTGGAGCTCTGCCCCCAGGCTCTCCTGGGCACAGCCTGGCAGTGAGGCCTCTCTCTGACAGCAGATGGTTGTGTGCTGAGGGGCAGCTGTACTCCACACACATGGAGGGGGTGGCATTCCTGGACAAATCACCTTTAGAGCAAAGAAATGCACTGAGCCCTGGGGTTGTTTTTTGGTGCTCTCTACACCTCCCTGACAGGGGAGTGGAGCCAGGTGGGAACTGACCTCTTCTCCCAGGTAATAATGATGGGACAAGAGCAAACAGCCTCAAGTTGCACCAGGGGAGGCTTAGATTGGATATCAGGGAAGATTTCTTCACTGAAACACTGATTAAGCCCTGGCACAGGCTGCCCTGGGCAGTGGTGGAGTCACCATCCCTGGAGGGGTTCAAAAACGACCAGATGATATGATTTAGTGGGAATGGTGGGATTCAGTCAAAATTTGGCCTGGATGACCTTGGAGGTCTTTTCCAACCTTAATGATTCTGTGATTCCATGCGAAGTATTGTGGAACTGTGCAGGAAGGTCTCTCAGCTGGAATTCAGTCCACAGAGCTGGGTCAGCTGGGCAATGGGACAGCAGAAAACTGGGTCTCCCTGGAATCTTGGAGCCTGTGAGGCACAGGGTGACCCTGAGCTGGTGTTGGGCCGTTGGGAGTTCCTGCCACAACTGCAGTGTGGACTCAATCAAAACAAGATGTGTTCTCTCTTCTGACACTGATGGTTTTCAGCAATGACAGACATAATTCCCTGGATTCTGACCCTTGGCAAAAGAGGCCTGAGAGACATTAATAAAGATGGGCATTGTCTGTTATTTAGTCTTTAGTTCCAAGCCTGCTGGAAGATGACAGGCTCTAAACAGGGGATCACAGGTTTAGACCACACACAGTCCAGGCAGGCTGGCAGCCTTCCAAGGACAAACAAGGATTAAATAGCAAACCAAGGGAGTTTTGCACATTTGTTTCCTCTTGCAGGGGTGGTCAGGAGGCAGTGCTGGCAGAGGGATCTCTCAGGAAAAGGGCAAAGAGCAGCTGAGCTGCCCAACCCAACAGAGAGTGAAATCATTATCTTTGAGCAGTCTGATATTCCTGGCTGCTCACAGCCAGTGACCTTTTCATCATGTTCCTCTCTGCCCTGCTGGTGATGGAGTGGGTGCCTGTCACCACACACTTGGCTCTCAGGGTTGACAACCTCTGCATCCCTGGGGGATGCATCCCCTGCCCTCGTGGCTGCAGGGTCCTCTTTGCCCCACTGCTCTGATCCTCCAGCTGGGGAGGGCTCACGGCCCTTCCCAGATCCCACCTCAGAGCAGGAGGCAGGGGCTGAGCTCAGGAGAGACTTCTGAGAGTCTCAAACCGACTTGCTCAGGGCTTAGTGCTGTTGTTGTCTGGATCCCTCCAGGGATGGGTGAGCTGCTTCAGGGGTTACTGTGGGGGTGGCTGAATGGTGGATGACCTTGAAAGTCTTTCCCAACCTTGATGATTCTATGGAGATCCACAGAATCATTGAACCATTAAGGCTGGAAAAGCCCTTTAAGATCATTAAGTTCAACCATTAACCACCTCTCCCAGGTCCTCCACTAACCCATGTCCCCAGCACCACATCTACACATTTCTGAACACTTCCAGGGGCAGTGATTCCATCCTTCCCTGGGCAGCCTGTGCCAGTGCTTGACAACCCTTTCAGTGAGGACATTTCTTCTAAGGTGCAATCCTACAGGCTCTCTGGGTGCCCGTCCCACTGTTTGAGGACCCTCAGCACCATTTATATCCAGTATAGCCCTGCCCCAACTGCTCCTGCTGTGCACCCTGGGGAGTCCCACAGCCCCTCCCTGGGCACCAGCCCATCCCTGAAGGCAAGAGGAACTCTTGTTATCAAATCCCTCGAGGGGGGTTGGAGTGAGGAGCACTGAATGACTGATGCTTGTAAATATATCTGTGTAGGGCTTGGTTTAGAACCATTTGGTTGCAATGGAAAGCAGGGATGGAGCCATTTTGGGGTGTTATTATCTATAGATATATGGCCATAGAAAAGTATAACAGTATCACTAAAGAAAATGTGTAAGGGAAAAAGAAAGGAAGGAAAAGAAAGGCTAAGAGTAGGAAGATCCATGATCACCACCCAGGATCTACGACCAGACTTGATCGTTGCAGCTTTGGTCAGATCAAAGTTCTTGGTCCATCAGGGGTGGGGGAAAACCCCCCAAACACAAAGTCTGATGGGTTAATACCCAGCAGGAACACCCTGGTACCTCCCCTGTGTGTGGGGGGGTGATTTTACACTGTCTCCTGCAAGAGACCCGGGATCTCATGCAACACTTTTGGATCACGGGCAGTCCTCTGGGGAGAGGCCTCAGGAATGGGGAGGGGGGACACTTCAGGGGTCTTTGGTGGTTTATGACCCCTCCTAAGACATGACACTGCCTCTCATACCAGTAGGCCTGCATGGGAATGCGACCTTCTCCAGGGGAGGGGGGATGTGTGTTTTTAAGGCAGGACAATTTGTCGGGATAAAAAGCACCCCCCCATCTCCACAGGTTCTGCCTCTTAGCTGGCTCAAAGCCCAGCTTTTAGGCTCCCCCTCTGTCTTATGCAGATCAGTCTCACTATTCCACACCCAAAACCTCACTCCTGCCCCCTGGGGGGATGCAAACTTGGCCCCAGCACAGCTCCTCAATTATTATAAGTCATTAACCATTAACGTCCAGTCTCACCCAGTGCCTTGGGCTCTCAGCCCCCCAGATGTGATCTGAGCTGGGTGTTTGTGTCCCCAGCTCTGCAGAGCTGCCCTCTTGGTGCTCACAGTCTGGACATTCTGGGAGCAAACCCTGCTCCTGTTTCTCCTGGCAGCAGCAGAGATGGGATCTCGGCTCTTTCATTTGGAATGAAACACAAACCTCATGTCTTGCTTTCTGTACAAAGGAGCTTTCCTGCCCTAAAAGAAAGGGCTGGTCAGATTCCACTGAAGGTAATTACACTGAGCTTACCTAAGAGCCTCCAGAGCCTCAACTGAAGACATTATTAAGCAATAATTGTTTCTTAATTGCTTTCTACAACACAGCTTTGTACAGTGTCAAACAGTCAGGCTCCAGGGGTGGCTGAATTTCAGCCGTGGCCACAATGCAGCTGATGGCTCTGTAATATTTCCTGGCTGCTGCCATGATGTAGCTCTTACACAACAGATTTGGAGCTAAAATTTAATCCATTATGGCTGTAAACAAGCCACTCCAATGTGAAGCAGGTGTAACCTGCGCTGTCTGCTGAAAATATGAAGTAATAACTCTGAGAAAATGGGGGAAATCTAATGGGCTGCCCAGCTATTTGTCAGGGTGTAACGTCCCCTGTATCCCAGGATTACTGGGGGTGGGATTCATCTGGCTCCACGTGTCCCTCTGCAGTCTCTGCAGCTCTCATCAGGATAAGCAACAGAGCCCAAGCCACCATTAATCTTGTCCTAAAGCCTAAAATAGGTCAGTGAACAGCACCTGAAAGTCCCACTTTCCCTCCAGATACCGGAAAGGGAGCCCACAGAGATGTGATCAGACACAGGCATTAAAAATTAGGAGGAATAAATCCCCCAGTGAATTCCTTACCATGTATCTGGGCATCAGCATTGATCCCTGGGTAAGTTCACTCCAAAAAAGGCATGGCAGAAGACACAGACACTGCCAAGTCTGTCCCTACAGGTGTTCATCCCTTGTCTGTCATGTTCTGGCGTGTTCATGCATGACTTGCATGTTCATCCAAGTGAACTGTGAACTGGCACCGTGACACCAGCACTGGCAGGGCCAGGGGAAGTTACCCATCCACCTTTTTGCAGTGTGAACACTGGTCTGTGCCAATCCTGTGCCCTGGGACACAGCTCAGTCTGTGTTTCTGTCTCAGGGCAACTGGGGACCCTCTTGGGGGTGGTATCACAAATCTGGCTAACAGCATGAGACAATTTTAGTGACAGTTTTTGGGGGTTTTCAGTCCATTTCTAAGGCATTATTGTATTCCTTGAGATGCATTCATTAATCTATTCATTAAAGCATTAATTGAGATATGGGGAGTGCTGGTGGGTGGTAAAATGTGGGCCAGGGAACCCTGAGTGGGCAAAGTTTGCAGTGTCTGAATTCAGAGCATAGGAGCAAGTCCTTTTTACCTGAGGGAAACCTGGTGAGCAAAGAAGTGCCATCCCACAGATATTCCCAGGTCTGGAGCCCCCTGTTCCATAGGTAGTGGGGCAGCCAGGTGCCATCCTGAGTGACTCCAGTGCCCGTTTGGGATCCATCTGGCACCACGTGGTATCAGAAAAGGCTTCAGAGCTCGTTTTTCTGCCTTTACCTCCTTCTGCAGGAACATGTGGAAGGAGTCACGCTCTGCAGGACCCTTTCTGTCCTGGAACATATTGCATTCAGCTTCAAAGCAATTTTACATGGGGCAAAAATGGCAGGGCATATTTCTTCTCACAGCCTGCTCTCCATGAGAACAGAGCTGAGCAGCAGCTCAGGTGGCCAGAGAGGACAGGGAGGAGCTCAATTTATTGCCTGAAACATAACCCAGCACAGAGTGATGGAAATGTGGAATGTCTTTCCAGCAAGGCAGGAGAAAGGCTGTTAGGAAAATGAGTTAGATCTTTCTGAGAAGCTGCTCCAGTTATTTCATGTAGAGCATAATTCACTGCCCCTCTGTGAACCTGAACACATTTGCTTTCCCTTCCATTCCTTCTTTCTGTGCTGCCCAGGGTTTCTGGGCCATCTGTGAACCATCATCACTGTCCCCAAACTGGCCAGCACAGGCATCCAGAGGCCACTTGATTCCAGACAAGACATCAGGAGGAAAGTCCAGAGACAGCAACCAAATTCGTCAGGAAGCTGGTGAGCAGGGCAGGAGTGGGGCTGCTCAGACATGGACCAGGGAGCAGAGCAACAAATGCTCTGGAGCTGAGATGGGAAATCAGAGTCATCCTCTCTCACAGCCCAGAGGGGTCAGAGCAAGGATTGACTGAAACAACTGTTTGGTTCAGTCACAACACACCATGAGCAGGAGCTGGGGCAAAACAGCTCTTGGAATCTTATTTTTCAGTGGGAATCAGGCAAAATCCACCTGGAAACACCTCAAATGAGATCATTGTAATTCATGTTTCAGCTTCTGTCCTGTCAGTAGAAAGAGGTCTCTCCTTGGCTGCTGTTCCCTCGCTGTGTGTGACAGAGGGGTCTCTCAGGTGGGGTCCTGAGCTGGATGCTGGACTGGGTGGGAGATTCCCAGTGGATCTTGGTGTTTAAGGATATGGCTTCAACATGGGTGAGCTCCCTGCACCAGCTTTGACTCAGGATCATCTTGCTGGAGCATCCATAGAATCACAGGATCATGAAGGTTGGAAAAAGCCTCCAAGATCATCGAGCCCCACCTTTGGCCAAACACCACCATGCCCAGCAAACCCAGACATTCGTCATGACCAGGTGGCTGCCCAGACAAGGGCCCTCCATACCCAGAAACCCACCTGCAGGGTATTTATCCGTGTTCCTCCCACTCCAGTGAGGTGAGTGCCAGCTCTGACCAAGCTGAGCTGCTGCAGCATCTCTCTCACTGCTTTGCTTTGCTTGAATAAACCTGTCAAAGCTGCTGCTTTCAACTTTTCTGGGGCTGGAGGTGAGTCCAGGTGACACCAGATGTTTTGGTGCTCCTGAGGGCAGGAGCCAGAGGGATTTGGGGTGGCAGGAAGGCTGCAGAGATGTGGCTCTGCTGGCCTGTCCCCGGGGAAAGCCCTTTTGCCCCCACACTGCAGGTGGTCAGGTCACCAAGGACCACCCCAGCGATGCCCACGTGATGGCTGGGAAGAAGTGAGACCTGAAACTGTGTCTCTGCCAGACACTGCAGTGTGAGAAAGGGGAGCCAGGGGGGAGAGAAGGGAGCAGAAAACATGTCCACACAGGCCAGTCCTCCCAGGAAGCACCATGCCCTGCTCCAGTGACAGCCAGAGTTATGCTGGCTTCTTGTCCCTTATTTTAAAGGCAGATCCCTGATAGGTTTGATTTGTTCCTCGAGGTGATTTTTTATTGCTTCTTACAGGAGATGACCCTTATTTCATTTGCTACATGAGTTATAGGAAGGCCATATCAATCAGTCAGAGCCTGGAGAGCAGGCAGTCCCACCACTGATTAAACCTGGCTCTTGGTGTGGAATTCAGCCTGGAGGAACCTTCTCTTTTAACAGAAACTAATCATAAAGTTAGGGGGGAAAGGAGTTTCTGCTTTTGTGTGGCCAAAGATGGTGTTCCTCATGCACTAAAAAATTGAACAACTGCCTCGTGCCTCACTTGTTCTGTGTATTCTAATTCTTCCATTATCAGCATCATTATGTTCTTCCTTTTCTGTCCCATTAAACTGTCTTTGTCTCAGCCCATGAGTTTTCTCACTGCCCCATCCCCGTGCAGGGCAGGGAGTGAGTAGGTGTGCTGTGCTCAGTTGCCAAGTGGGGTTAAAGCACAACCCCCACCTGCACACTGACGTTTTATTGCAAGGATTTAGCGAGTCTAAAGGTTAGGACAGGCCTTTGAGACATCACAGAAGGTAATCTCTCACTGGTAGGACCTGAATGTTAGAGCCTGGCACTCCAAAAATCTCCATCTCTGTCTGGGAGGGTGTCGTGGTTTGACTCCCCCTGGGGCTGAAGGTGGCCCCAGGTTGGGCACCATTTTTAGGGGGCCGAGGGGTGGTGAAAGTGTGTTTATACTGTGTATTCTATTATTCTTTAGTTTCTATTCTGTTAGCAATAAATTTAATATTATTCCCCCACATCTAGTCTGTTTTGCCTGTGTAAAACCTCTCTCAACTTGTAGCAATTGTGTGGGGGGGTTGAAAAAAATTGGACCCAAGTAAAACCACGACAGGGGGAGACTGTGGTTGTCATCCTTGAAAGCAGTCTTGTTTCCCAAAACTTTGGGATCAAGCTTCATACAGTCATACAAAGATGGTGAAGGGTCTGCAAAGCCATATGAGGAGGGGCTGAGGGTATTTGGCCTGTTCAGCTGGAGAAGAGGAGACTGAGGGCAGAGCTCAGCGAGGCTGCAGCTCCTCCCAAGGGGCAGCTCCATCTCTGCCCTCTGTGAGCAGGGACAGCAGCCAGGGAATGGCTGGAGCTGTGTCAGGGCAGGCTCAGGTTGGATCTCAGGCAAAGGTTCTTCCCCCAGAGGCTGGTTGGGCACTGCCCAGGCTCCCCAGGGCAGTGGGCACAGCCCCAAGGCTGCCAGAGCTCCAGGAGGGTTTGGATGATGCTCTGAGGGACAGGGTGGGATTGCTGGGGTGTCTGTGCAGGGCCAGGGGTTGGACTGATGGTCCTTGTGGGTCCCTTGCAACTCGGGAGATTCCATGATTCTGTGATTCCATGACCTCAGATGCAGCATCTGGAGAGCCAAGGGGCTGCCACGTTACTCAGAGAAATAATTCCCAGATATATATACTCCAGAAATAATTCCCATTTCCACTGACCTGCTGGCAATGTGTGTTTAGATATTCTACAGCTGAGATAACACTACGTGGTCAATTTTTTTTCTCATTAGAAGTGTTTTTTTAACTCCATAACTATCTGACTGTTGAGCACTGGCACCCAAGGCAGGTCTCTGAGCCCCCTGGCCCTGGGCTGGAAGGTGGGCAGGTGCCAAGAGCAATCTCTGTGTCCCTTGTGGATCGTGACCATGCCTGGGACTGCAGCAAAGCAAAATATGCCCCTAAAAAGCCAGAAACTTTCTGTTTTCCCAACTGAGAATCACTGCCATAGATCACTAAATATAACAGTAATTTCCATACATTTTGCTGGAGTTTATATGGAAGTAGGTCCTCAGTTGCTCGGGGTGGTTAATCAGATATAAGTCAGTATGCAAATGGGACAAGTGCAAATGCTAAAATTGTGGCATTAGAATTTTAGAGAATATAATTACAAAATATTTTGTATATCATTATTTTGATATAATTATTTTGATATAATTATTAGGCAACTTGTAAGAGAAGAACTCTTGAAAGGTTTGCGTGAGGGAAATGAAAATATAGAAAATGAGAAAGTATCTGCTGCAGAAAAATCAAGTGTGTCACAGCATATCAGTAATCATTAATATAGATTTTGGTGAGTGCAATAGCAAATGAAACACTTTTTCAGGCTTCACTCAGTGGTAAAATGGCAAATCTTCGTAGGACAAAAGCAGTGTGGATATTACCAACAGCATATTAGTTCTCCTTCATCTGAGGAAAATTATTAATAAAGGCTGGACATGGTTTTCTTTGCTGCCGATGCTTCGTGCTGTGAAAATAACAAAACCTGCTGATTTGAAATACAACATTGTTATCATCTGCTTGATTATTTCCAAGATAAGAAGGGTGACAGAGTGATTAGTTCAGAATAAAAAGAAATCAAACATTTTGAGCTTTTTGCCTGTTTATCATCATTTGGAGTTTCTATGCTCTTATTATTTTTGGCAGATACCATTCACTTCAAATGAACGGGAGGAGAGAGGGAATCTGTGTCCCACATGAACTACCAGCTGATCCCCAGCACAAAGCAGGGCTGAGGGGAACTGTACCTGTGGCACTCAGTGCTCTGGGCAGGGGGACAAGCTGGGGATGGGGCACAGGGGGGATCCATGGGCTGGGAGGGCTTTTCCAACCTAATGATCCTGGGATTCTATAAATAAGCAATTTTAATCATTCTTCTTAACCAATGGAAGTTGTCCCAGCAGGACAGAGATGTTTATTTTGGCAGCCTTAACCACAGAGAGATCTTGAGGTGTATCCCCAGAAGCCTCTTCTTTCTCTGTACTGTGCAGTTAAAAGGATCATTAAATGATTTCCAGTTATTATAGGTCACTTCTGCACACTGAGAGAGGATTTTCCACGTGGAATTTTTTATGTTAATGACCAGAAATCAAGCTAGTGGTGCAGAGATCCTCTTTTTTTATATAGTAATGTGTACATATTTATTTCTTTATTTCCCAGGACATAAAAAATGAGGGAGTTTTATGCCACAGCTAATTAAAACAGACTCAGCTCATGTTCTGTTTATGAGGTATTGCAGACATTAAAGTGTGAGCTACAAAAAGAAAGAAACAGGTGACATTATTTGGCCACAAATACGGCTCCTATTTAAAAGACAGACATGAGCAAAGTAGGAAAGAAGCCAAGAAGTTTCATTCCATGGCATCTTGGGATCACAAAGAGGTGTTTGGGAGGTTTTAAGCTGACTTTGCTGCTTGTCTGAGGGCTGTTGGAGAAAGAGTCAGACCAGTTTGTGTGACAATGGTCCAGGAGCCCTGAAACTCCACCTTCAAATATTTCCTTCCAATTCTTACACCAGGAATACGTGTTGTCCACATATCACTGAGAAAAAGAAGTTTCCTTGAATAACTAAATATGAATAAGCTGCAGAAATCTATGAAATATTGATTCTGTTCAGGCTGGAAAGTTAATCCTGTTCGTACATGTAAAGAGTGTTTTACAAATTCATTAAAAATAACGTGGGAGCTCTGGAATGCACTAAAGGTGATTAATTTGTACCATTTTAAATAATATACTCCGGTTCACAAAATGTGAATTATTTATGAGAGCGGCAGTAACATCAAGTGGAAAGAAAAATAAACCTATGACAAAGGTAAACAGTGGTTTTCCAAATGTCACAGCTTAGGACATGATTTCCCCATTTCCAGCTGGCTGTTCCTCATTTTCAGAGAACCACAGAACTGCTGAGCTTGGAGGCACCTCTGGAGATCATCGAGTCCAAGTCCTCTGCTCAGGGAGGGTCACCTGGGGCAGGTTGTCCAGGACCATGTCCAGCAGAGTTTTGAATATCTCCAAGTATGGAGACTTCACAGAAATTCTGGAAAACCTCTTTCAGTGCTTGACCATCCTTAAAACAAAAATCTTTCTTCTCAGGTGTAAGTGGAATCTCCTGTTTTCAGTGTTTGGCCGTTGCTTCTCTTCCTGCCACCGGGCACCACCAAGAAGGGCCTGGATCCAACTTCTCCACATCATATCAGGTATTAATAGACATGGACAAGGCCCCCTCTGAGCCATCTCTTCTCCAGGCTCAACAGTCCCAGCTCTCACAGCCTCTCTCTGTAGAGAAGGTGCTGCCATCCCATACCCATCCTCCTGCCCCTCCTGCTCCCATGGCCGTGGGCACATGGGCAGGAAGAGCTGCAGCCACAGCAGAGGAGGCAAAGACTGTGGCACTGAACACCTCCAGAGCCAGGGCAGATTTACTACCCCTGGTAAGTGTTTTTGATCTGTCTGGGGGCTTGAGACATCAACTAAAAGCTCCACAAGATGCAATAGGAAGGGAGAACTCCCCTCTGGTGTCCTCAGCCTGTCCCCATCCCAGATAAAGTCATCTGACCACACTCAGCCCCCTGAGCCACAGGGGAATTCTTTGCCCTGCCAGTGCTGGATTTATCATTTGTGCAGCCCCCTTAGGCAGCTGTGAGGAGAAAATGGAAAAAGGAGCCCTCAGTCGTTCCCTGGAGAAGCAGGGAGACAGGAACTCCAGGCATCCGTCGCGAAGATGGACAGGTTTAATACCACACGAGAGCCACAGACACTCGCCCTGCCCGTGGGGTGTTCCACAGCCCCTGCTTTGC